TCCTATGATGGTTTCTATGACGGTTTCTATGTGCTGTTCCTATGATGGTTTCTATGACGGTTTCTATGTGCTGTTCCTATGATGGTTTCTATGACTGTTCCTATGTGCTGCTTCTATGACGGTTCCTATGTGCTATTCCTATGACGGTTCCTATGCGCTGCATCACTTTTCTTGAGCTGTTTTCAAGGTTTTGCTGGCTTGAACTTGAATGTGTTGTGTCTGAGCATTTGGGGGTTTATCCTGGATAGTATACTCAACTTCTTGAATCTGTAGATTTATGCCTTTCTCCAAACTTTAGAAGTTTTCAATCATTATTTCTTCAAATATTTTTCAGTTCTGTATTCTCTCCCCTCTTACAAATATCAGACTTTTTATTACATATAGTCCCAACTTCCCTAAAGCTCTGTTCACTTTTTCTCCCATTCCTTTTTCTATTGTTCAGAAAGAACGCTATCTGCTGATGTGTTTTCGTCCTCTGTTGCCACCTCTATTCTGACATGTCTATCCAGTGAGCTCTCTCACTTGGTTACTGAATTTCTCAGGAGCCCTGGAAGCACAGTCGGCGACATGTTGGGCTGATACCTGCAAGGGCAGTGCGACAGGCCCACCAGCAGCTCCACGAGAGAAAGATGAGGCTTTCTGGTCCCAGAAAGATGTAAAGGGTTGGAAGTCCGAAGAGGAAGTTCCACTCTGTCCTATAGGCTGTAATGGACTCATTGGCAGTGGGTTTTTCTATTGGTTTTGTATTTTTAAAAAAAATCATTTTATTAGGGGCTAATACAACTCTTATCACAATCCATACACACATGGTTTTGTATTTTTCAGTTCTGAAATTCTGACTTCTTTATATTGTGTATTTCTTTACCGATACTTTTTTATTTTCCTGTTTTAAGGATGTCTTACATTGCTCACTTTAGCATGTTTATAATAGCTGCTTTAGAGTTCTTATAGACAATTCCAACGTTTGCATCATCTCACAGTCTGTGTCTTGCTACGCCCCACCCCCCGAGTTGTTTAGATTCTTGTGGTTCTGCGATTGATGAGTAATTTTGATTTCTATCTCAGACATCTTGAGTAATATGAGATCGTGGACCTTCTTTATATCCTACAGAGAACGTTGACATGTACAAAATTGCAGTGTCTAGGACCTATACTTCTAAAAGGGTCCCTGAAATGTTTCCTGATTGGCAAGTGTGCTTGGCTGTGTCTAGATGACAGTGTGTGTTCTACAGTGAAAGTGCGCTTCTCTTCTGGGGCGCTGGAATGCTGGTAGCTGTCAGGCACCGTGTGCTGACATAACCAGCCCCCAGTAAGGCGTTGGACACTGAGTCTCTAAGGGGCTTCCCTGGGGAGGAACAATGCACATGTGTGGCTGTACTTCATGGCTGGGCAACTGCTGTGTGACCATATGGAGCACCTATACAGATGCCTTCTAGACTCCACTTGTGTCCTCTTCTCGTGTGATCTGGTCGCACAGCCTTACTGTGTGATGAGAAATCTTACTGGATTAAGACTGCATATTACCCCCAACCCCCAGTCCTTTTATGGGTAGCCTTTGGGAACCCATGTAATAGTTGATATTTTTGTTTCAGCTTTCTGTGGGCGGTGGTTTCAATGTCAGTTCACTTTTCAAAGCCTTTGCTGGGCTATGCGTGTCTGCCCCTTGAATGTGTCGTGCAGTGCTCAGTCTGGGTCCAGAGTAGAGTTCGACCCATTAGCTCAGGTCACTCGGTCCTCACTATGCTAATTAGGATGTTCAAGTGCAAGACAGGGTTTATGAACTTTACAGGGTGCTTTCCTGAGTTCCTCTCTCCATTAACTTCCCAGAGCATTCTGATTCTCTCAGCTCCTCTTAGGCTAGAGAAGCCAAAAAAGCAATGGGTTTTGGCTTTGCCATATTGGATCTCAGGATACACCAAAAGGGAAAGAAGGGTCCACTCCATAAGCGTAGACTGCTCAAGCCATTGCTGTCACCACCCAAGAGATGGGGAAGGGTTGGGGGGCTGGAGCACGAGGGAATGGAGAAACAGGGAGAGAGAGAAAGCCAGGGGATATCCTCCATCATGTCCATGCTTTAGGAGCCCTTCTTCTGCTCTTTGAGCTAGAGCCCAAAGTTGTTCCCTGGTTCTCTTCCTGTTGTCTCACCACAGTGCTTACTTCCAAGTTTCGGGTTATGGTGAGCTCAGGCCACGGAATCTTGGGGGGAAAAAACCAGTAAGCACACCCCTGACTCAGTAGTACTTTGAGTTCTTCCTAAATTCATTTGCTGATCATTTAAAAAAAAAATTTTAAACATAATTTTATTGGGGACTCATATAACTCTTATAACAATCCATACACACATCAATTGTGTAAAGCGCATTTGTACATTCATTGCCCTCATCATTCTCAAAACATTTCCTCTCCACTTAAGCCCCCGGCATTAGGTCCTCATTTTTCCCCTCCCTCCCTGCCCCCCCCACCCCATGAGCCCTTGATAATTTATAAATTATTATTTTGTCATATCTTGCCCTGTCTGACGTCTCCCTTCACCCACTTTCCTGTTGTCCATCCCCCAGGGAGGAGGTCACATGTAGATCCCTGTCGTCAGTTCCCCGATCATTTCTTTTTCTTTCCAAGTTCTTCCAGTTTTATAGCGGAGTTCAGGGGGAACATGGTTCCCATGACCACCCACACGCTCAGTGATTTTTGAAGAAGCGCATCAGTTTTCCAACCATGTTTTTAATTGCACGTGGGGATCTGACGTCTCAACTGGTTTTAAGTTTACTTAAAACCTAGCATACTCTGCCCCAAGCAAGTCACTCACCTGTCTCTGTGTTGGCGCCGATTGGTGGTCAGGGCCACAGCAATATTGTCCCATGCTTTCCAAACATCCCCTTGGCCAGGGTTCTCACAGCCCAGCTGGCGCCAACATTCATCAAACACAGCTTTCCACTTCTCATCAGCAGGCACTGCCAGGTTTCCTAGTTTCCTGCTAATGAAGTCATGTCAGCCTTTCACTAATCACTTCTCTTTTTCAAAAATGGTCTTAAAGAGTAGACATCTTCTAACACACAACTGGGAATGCTTCTGTGACAAAAACGGCCTAGGGTGATGGTGGTTCCACTGCCAAACACTGAATGAATGGTTTTTAGCTACTTAAATGTTTATCACACACAAAAGCATATAGATTGTTAAGTACAAAGCACTTAACATCATAATCTACTTGTTAAGTGAAAAGGACTTTAGAGCCGGCCCCTTGGCTTTCTGTAATTCCACAGAATTGTTATAAAATTGATTCCTGTTCAAACAAGGACGTTCTGTGCTTTCCACACCTCACAATGAGAACGCTGAGATACATTATTTACATAATGGGTTCTAAAAATACTCTAAGAATAAACATAGCACAGAAATCTATATCAAGCTCACCAGAACAATGAATTTGAGATGCTATCAAACAATGAAAACAAAGCTGGCATCAATCAAGGGAAATGGACATATAGCAAAATGATGGAGGAAAAATAACAATATACTTAAACTTTGCACACACACACACACACACACACACACACACACACCCAACTTATGCAGTTTATACTAGTCTACTTGGTATAATGCAAACATCCATCCATCCATCCACACCAGGCTTGATCTGTACTCTTCAAAAGTCTGTGGAGAGCTTCCATTTAAGAATGCTCTTTCAATCACCTGCACCATTAATAATAGAAGCACTCCTATACCTGGTACTCTTATGTTAAACCTCTAAGATTTAGGCTCACAGCAAAGACTATTGATTTGATGATCTACAATGGTGACAGCTGACCAGTTCAAGAGGTTACACGTTGTTAACAAAATAAAATACTTTAAAACTTGATTCAATCTATTACTCAACCTTCATAAAAGCAAGACAACTCTAAATACTCAATAATTAATCCAGAATTAATACGAGTTACTCACAAAACTTTGGGCCTGTCTTTGTCACTTTCATACAGACTGGGTTTGAAGTAGCTTCCGGTGATTTTTATCCCAGATCCCCATTCTCCATTAAAAAAGCCTTCAATGTAATCTCCATTTGGCATAGTCAGTGTTCCCTACGTAAGAATTAAAGAGGAGGTAAATGTGGAATTAGACAAAGCTTTTTCAATATGACAGCTCACATTACAATGAATGGTGAAAGACTGGTTTCTCTCAACGAGCAGGAACTTGCTCCACTCTGACCACTTGCGATTCCAAATTCTCTTGGAGAGTTGAATGACTGCACCCAGGTGAGAAAAGACACACACACACACACACATGAGATAACCAAATTCATCAAGGTTTCATGACACAAAAGAACAAAATTAAAATATCAATTAGATTTTGATATAACAGCTCCAAAATGAAATAAACAACAACAAAAAAACAATTCTATTCACAATAGGATAAAAAAAGAATAAATTACTTAGGAATAAATTTAACCAAGGAAAGGTAAGACTATACATAGTTAACCATAAAACAATCCTGGAAAATAATTAATGATCTTATTAAGTGCACAGATAATCATGTTCATGGATTGGCAAATTCAGCATGATAAAGATATATCCATTCTTCCCAAATTGGGAGTGTAGGTCTCTGAACTTATTTGGCCTACTGCCAATAGCAATTAGGGAAATGCAAAGTAAAAACCGCAATGAGATACCACTTCACACCCACTAAAATGGCTGTAAGGAAGTTTTTGTAAAGATGTGGAGAACTTGAAAACCCTGTAAATGGAACGGCCACTTTGGCAGTTTCTCAATATGTTAATCATGCATCATCCATGTAGCATACAGCCCAGGGGTTTCACTCGGAGGGGTCTAGCTATGAGAAAGAACCAAGCAAACAAAACCCTATGCCACCCCAAGAGTTATATGTAAGTACACTTATAGAAGCATTCTTCAAAACAGTCTAAAACTGGGAACAGCCAAATAGCTACCAAATGGTGAATGGGTCAACAAGGTGTGTCTTTGGAACACTCTTGAGCAATATTAAAAAACAAAATGGCGTCCACAAGATGTGGAAAAACCTCAAAACCATTATGCTAAGTTTAAGACCCCATACAGGAACATCCACATATATTAAGTTTCTACTTATAAAGAAAATCAAATCTTTAGAGTGAAAAGGTTCAGTAGTGGATGTGTGGTCCTGGTTGATAATGGGGAGTGATTGCAAATGGGCTGGAGGGACCCTATGGGGGCAGGAAATGCTCTAAAACTGGATAGTTTGTGGTGGCTACACATGATGCCCACGAGTTAAAAACCATTGGATTGTATATTTAAAATAGGTAACTTTTAAAGTACATAAACTAGCTTTTTAGAAAAGCCAGGGAAAATTTTTTAAAGATTATAACAGATAAAGGAGAAAGTTTGTTTCCAACCTTTCCACTAAGATTCCAGTCATCTGAAAATTCTCCCTCATAGATAGTATCGTCTTCAGAAAGTAAAACCCCATTTCCCTGTTGTGAAGAAACAAAACAAAATCACAACTCAGAGAACACAGGATAACTTGGGGGGCTATGTAACCATATTCCCAAAGCCTTAAAAGACAAGAAAAACAGTCCTAAAAGGTTTAGGAAATTAATAAAAAAGATTTTTTTAAAAGAAAGAACATAGGTCAAGTTTTTAAAAAGTCAATAGTAAGTATATGCAAACACTCCACTCACCATCATTTTATTAAGGCTAAAGTTGCCTTCGTAGTATAATCCAAACTGGGTAACGACCACTCCGTTCCCCTGACACACGTCATCTTGCCACATTCCCATATACTTCTCTCCCCTGCGTGGGAATTTCAGGAGGGAAAACACAGTAAGTGATGCAAGGCTAGCGAGCATGGGGCGGAGACCCAGACCACTCCTGGGAGGCTGGAGTCTTGTGAACTTTGCTTCCTAAAGCAGAGTGTCAGCAGACGTCTCAGAGCGATGCTCCAGCACATACTCCATGTGCTGCTGCTTTGACAACTTAGACCAGATCATGGAACAGAGACACGAATGCCAAGAATCCAAGTCAGAACCAATTCTTTCAAAAGTTAGCTATCTAGGTACAAATTTAACAAATCTACGTACAACTTTCTCTCACCCCAAAGTTCACTAACTTAAAAAGAGACAGAAATGGGGTTTACCATAAACAAGGCCCATTTTTCATCTACTCAAACACAAGGAAAAGTTGACTGTAAACACAAAATAATGGAAACTGCTGTCAAATAATCAAAGTGTAGTGAAAACAGCAAAGTCTTTGCATCTCATTGACCAGGAGCAGTTACTTAAATTGAAAACACAAAAAGGGAGAGGGGGGTAAGTCACAGAATACAAATCAAATTAGACCAGAACGAACATGGAGACAGAAGACGACATTCCTCCTCAAGCCTTGGTTAAACTGATAGTAAGTAAACAGCAACAATGCTAATTGTGAATGATCTTGATTTTGTAAAGAACACAAGTAAAAATAATATGGAAAGCCTTGCTTTCTTATTTAAACAATTCTCAATACTGTTAAACCTTTATAATATCACTATTTTTGGAGAAGCATAGGAACCTTATCCTCACATTAAACGTTGAGATTAGAAGCAGAATACTGTACCTAGTGATATCATCAAAGACCCCATATCCTGCTTTCTTATCCATCACCCACTGGCCAATGAACATGCTGGGAGAAGAGGAAGTCAATTTGCCGCTTCGTAGGAGCCCATGACCGTGACGCATGTTATCTTGAAAGCAGCCTTCAAACACTTCACCAGAGGCATAGCTGTGGTCAGAAAGGAGGGAAGTCTCACAAGCATAATGAACTTTGATTCTCATCTCTACACAGTCTAGGAAATCCAAAATTATACCCCAGTTTCATTAGTTTTACAATTATTTGTTATACGCTTATTTTCCACTAACCAGAAATCTCAATTTCTTCCTATGGTAGAAGCTAAGAAGTCAGACATTATGGGTAGTATTCTGCAATGATGCAGGAAAAAAACGTGTGCCGATTCCTTTGTGGAGGAAGGAAATAATGTGTGTCTCTGAGAGGGTAGAATGGTGGATTTTTGTCCTTATTAAAGCTGAGTAATACAAAGTAAGCATAAATGTATAGGCAGCACATTTAGGTAAGAACAGAATAATGTCTTCGCCTTCTGACAGGTGAGGTTGATCTTTAAAAGACTTTATGTAGTTTCAACCAGGTGAATAGTACATGAAATTTACCCCTTGGACATTTTGGTTACACAAACAGTTAAGAGTTTTTGAAAAGCTACACCCAAAGTCCACCCACCTTTCCAATGGTATTACCTATAGATTCCCTGACCACACATCTTCCCTTCTTTCCAGTGGCCCACATACTGGTCTTCTTTGTTCAATGCCTTATTTGGTATTCTGTACTCTCCATACCTGCCAAGGAGAAAAAAAGAAATCAGAGAGCATTTACGACATTCGCTTTTTGAGTAATTGCACGTGTGTGTATAAAATCTGTAAACATTTTAACAAGGAGGATGGAGAAAAGATTTGCCTATCGGAGGGAAGGCATAAACAGTGTCTTGGGTTCAGTTCCAATTGTTTGGCAGCAGACTCACATAAAGAGGTTACGTGCTTCATCCAAAACTCAGCGAAAAACAGAAGATCGATAAAGTGAGGACAGTAAGCCTGAAGATCTAAAGTTCCTTCTCATCAAAACACAAACAACCCCCTAGGCCCCGAAAATTAAAAAGATGTAACCCAAACTCCCAACTCTCTGCCACGGAGTTGGTTCTGACTCATGGTGGCCCTGCAGGACAGGCTAGCACTGCCCCTGTAGGTTTCTGAGATTAACTCTTTATGGGAGTAGAAAGCCTAGTCTCTCTCCCCAAAAGATGTAAAGGCATTACAAAGGTTTATATTATCACAAAAGAAAACAAAAAAATACCCCACCTGCCCAATTTACATAATAATCTTTTGTAAAGAGTAAAATAAATTACCTCTGTAACATGACATAAAGTATTTCATAGACATACACATATATCACGTAAATATACTTACTATGTTAAAAAAGATGTCAATCTTATATAAAACATCATTAGAGTATCATTAGGGTAATATCATTTGGAAGATTTCTCTAACATACCACAGAAATTAAAGATGATTTTAAACTATTCGGTGGAAAATTCTAGGTCCCTTTGTGTAAAGGGGACATTACAGTCTCAAGAGTCTTATCAACATTACCCAAAGTTCTCAGTTGTGTTAACTGCGAAATGGATAGAGAACAGTTCCATTTTGATGGCTAGAAGTGTATGTACCACAGAGTTATCGAGGTAATGATTCGCTCTAGGTAATGACCCAGCCTCTAGACCACGACTCTCTTCACGCTTACAGGACTGCATTATATACACTACTACATTGTTGCATGCCTGAACACCAAACACAAAGCTACTAATGGCTTAGAGAGCAATCCTGAACACAAAATGTCATTTGTTACTGGACTTAGAATGACAGCCTCTTGTTTGACACAATATGCTTACCCATCTTCCAAGCCGTTCCTGAACATGCCCGAATACATCTTTCCATCGGGCCACTTCAAAACCCCCCTGCAATGAAGAAGCAAAGTGTGTGTGTTAGTTGGCAGTGGTTTCTGTGGTTTAGTTGCCCCCCCATCCCGGGCATAAACCCTTTTAGGCATAAAGACATTTTCACCTGCCATGAGGCTTCCCTGAAAGCCAGCGCCCATCATAGGTTGCTTCCTTTAGGCGAGGATCCTTGTAGAAAGTGTACTTGGCACTGCGTGAAATCGGCGGGTCCTGCCTCGGCAGGCTGCTGCCACTTCCGTAAGGTGGAAGGTCGGACGTCCCCCTCAAAGCCTGATCCACCGCTTGGCTTATAGCCCGCAGCCACTTCGTCTGGGAGCAAAAAAGACAAAGGCAATACACTCAAGGTAACAAGTCCACAAGCACTGCTTGAAGTCCTATTAGCTTCGTTGGGAATACTGTTTTTCTGTTTCCTAATGCTTTTTTCTATGAATCAATATTGGCTGGTTCTTGGAACTCCTATTTAAAATTAATTAACTAACCTCTTTAAAAAAACCCTAAAGTCTTGGTTTAATGAAGATTGGTCAGATGTAACTAGGTCACTAATCAAGCAACAAATGGTATTTCTTCTTCACTAAGAGCCAGCCCAGAGACCAACAGACGGCGCCACCGTGGACTAACCTTTTCCTGGGGCGTTGATGAAACGAGCGTGAACTGCTCCTCTGGCGTAGTTACCTTTAAGCCATTCCTGAAATGGGCACAAGGATCAGTACCAGTAGCCAGGGCACTGCAGTACGAAGAGCAAACTGTTTGTTTCACGAGCAGCATTAGTCCGTGAAATGTCGACGCCCTCATGCTCCGGGCTCGGTTCCCCCAGTGCAGAAACAGTCTGCTCTCAGCGTGAGCAGGGGAGCAGGGGTGCCACAGAAAGGCCACAGGGACACAGGGTGCCCTGTCATGCTCTCCACAGCAGGCGGCTATCTGTGGAACGGTGAGCCTGCTATACAGAGACGTGTCTGCGGTCTAAGGAAAGAGCTTGGGTAACAGTAGGACAGAAGGCGAGTGGGGGTGGGGGTGGGAGTGGGAAAGCTACTTACACACCACTGGCTTCCTCCGAAAGTGGCTCCACCCACAGCGTAGCCAAAGGGAAAACATGGTGAGTGGAGAACTGAAAGAGAGCATGGAGACATGTCAGAGAAAGGCCACCTGGGCCCCAGGTCCCAGCCCAAGCTTCTTCATGCCAGCCCCTGGGAGACCCCCCTCCGCCCACCGATACCTTCAAATGGCTACACTCCTATGGCCGCCACCATCTCTGCCACAGTCCCGGGACCATGGTGATCCCCGTGGGTTTAGCCATCTCTGCCCTAAGAACCCTTTCACATGACTGACACTTATTCTCTACCTGGAAACTGAAGCGGTCCCTGAAATCTAGTCTGTATCATTAATATGAGCTGGAGCTAAACACTCTATCAAGCAATCACACTAATTTGTTATATAAATTGATGGTATAATGAATTACATAAGCTCCAGGGCCTTCAAAAAATGTGTTTGCGAAAGTTAACACAGCTAAGGAGCTATGCCATTTCAACAAACTGTACATGTACGATCCACTGACACCGCTCACATTCTCTACGTTGTGTGCACATTCTCCATATCGCCTTAAATTGTCTAGTGCAGTTACACTAGAAAAACCACAAGTGGGTGGCTTTAACAAAGAGCGATCTGTCTTCTCATACGTAGGTGGTCAGAAGTCAGAACTCAGGATGCTGGCTCCGGGGAAGGCTTTCTCTCTGTCGGCCCTGGAGGAACTTCTGTTCTTGGCTGGTCTTCATGTGGCTTGGCATCTCTCTCCCCTCACCTCTACTTCTCTCACATTTGTTCAATGTCTTTCATATCTCACATCCTAGCTGGTCTCACTAAGACAGCCCATTTCCAAAGGGCAGATAACCACAGGCATGACCTTCAGATTCACACGCAAATTGAGGGGAGGACATCCTTCAGTCCATAACGCTATCCCTTTCCAAATTACTTTCTCACCATCGGTGGAGTCGCTGGCCTCTGAGCTGCTCACCAAGGTTTGTGAAATGCTATTGTCAATTTACTCCCACACAGGTAAGGCCTCTAAAACGCTTGCCTTTTAAAGCTGCTGAACTTTTTAATTAAACTAATTTATTAATTAAACTAAATTGTTGTTTGGTTCCAAGAAAGGCTCTGGTTTGAGGTTTAGTGTAAAGATGATCCCAGTGTGATAGTTTGGGGTGTTACCCAACTGAAATGGCTCCGGAGGGTGAAGATCTCTTTTGAGGTTGGAAACCCAGCCTACCTGGGCATGGACCAAGGCATCATTGAAGAGGATGAACCAGTTGACAGAAAACCTTCCGGCATGCTGCAGAGAGAGTGCTCGATTACTGCTCTCACACAGCAGGCGGCGCTCTGGCTTCCTCAAGGAATCCTGGAATTAAAGCACAAAAGCAAAGCACACTATTTAAATATGCAAACAGAAGATATACAAGTCACACTTAGAAGAATTTGTCAGTTGAGGCACAGCTTGGAATTAAGTCTAAATTAAGATGGGATCCAAACAGATGATAAAATTAAAGCACTCAGAGGAGACTAGGAGGCTAGCTTCCAGGACCCAAACCAAACGCACTGCCACGGAGCCGATTCCAGAGAGATCCTTTAGGGCAGAGTAGAACTGCTCTCTATGGTTTTCCGAGGTTATAATGCTTTATGGAAGTAGAAGACCCCATCTTTTCCCCATGGAATGGCTGGTGATTTTGAACTGCTAACCCTGAGGTGAGCAGCTTAACATAACCCACTGTGCCACCAGGGCTCCCAGTGGTTTACCTTACGTAGTCAAAAATGTTCTGCATCATAAGGAGTCCTACTGGCCTTTGTGGGACTGCCTGCTCCCATAAAGGACCAGGCTGTACACTCCTCTAAGACTTAGTCTTGGAAACCCTATACAGGGGTGGCTGTGAATTGGAACTGACTCAAGGGCAGTGGGGTTTGAGCACTATGCGCTTCTGAGAACTATCTATATGGGATCAATTGACTCACGTGGAGTCTAAGGGGGCAGTGAGTTTACGTTCATGAGGAACATCTCAGAAAAGGAGGGTGAGAATGTTTACAGAGTCCAAGGATGTGCCGAAACTGTTGATGGTCTAAGCCTCGTTGTGTGAATCCTCAACAAGAGCAAAATGAAAAGTAAAGAAAGTTAAAAAAAAATCACGCCATGAAACATTGCGGTGGAAAAAAGTCAAATTCTAGATAAATATATCATTTATCTATGTAGAGACACACACATATACACAAACAGGAGGGAAACAAACAAAAAGTCAGTCTTCACAAGAGATTCCTGGGAGGGAGGAAAGGTGCCGCTCCCGCAGGCCACTGCAATGGTCTGTACACATTTTAGAAGCAGGGTCATTAAAGCATTGTTGCCAAAAACAGCGGGGAACAGAGACAATTCCAGCAACAGAAATGCCTGCAGCTTGCTGGCGGAGAGACAGCTGGCATGGTTTACCGTCATCTTCCCAGGAAAGGTCTTCCAGAAGCCGAGGGTGTACTCTGCTTCCTTCCTTTTCCTGCCGAGGTGGAGTGCAAGGCACTCGTAGCAGGAACTGGCGTCCTGCAGCTTCTGGTATTCTGGAGCGGTCTAGAGGCAGTCAGGAAGGGGAAACGTGAAAATAAGGACACGAAACAATTGTCCAGAACCAGCAGACCGAGGGAGGTTTGGGCGTGCAGTGTGATCCTTAGGGGGCGATTCTGCTTAGGAACAGAGGCGGTGCATGACAGGTGCTCGCACACTGGGAGGGTAACTCGAGGAGCCAACACGCACTGGCAGTTCTTGTGAGAACAGCAGCGACCTCGGGGCAGACCAGGTCGTTCTGTTTGGGTTCCAGCATGCAGTTATTTTTTCCCATGTAGGTTATATGCATTAATACACACCACACTGGAGAATAGGAGTGAGGGTCCTAGATTCATTAGCAAGATGAAATCACATTTCAGGTGACAAAGGACTATTTTCCAAAACAAACAAAACAACTAGTGATTGGAAAGTGGTGTTTATGATTTTGCAACTCTATTATATGGTTTAAGAAATGACAGTTTTTAAACCATATAATAAAGATTAAAATAAAAATTATAAAATTATCATAAAGATGAGATGCTTCTGCTTCTAAACTGTTATGATATGTGGTCTTACTAAAATAAGTATAAGAAAAGCAAGGAGTTTTTTTAGCAGCCACTTCAAATTAATGTGGATATTCTCTTTGATAGCATAGCAAAACTTACGCAGTAGTCCCTGAAAGAGCGGCTGTAATGTGGAAAACTCAAGCTTATCAATAAACTCTTCATACTCTTAGTACAGGCCGTGGTCCTAGGGCCCTTTGAATAGGTTTGCTTCCCATGCATGAGTCTGTAACATGGATCGATCATTTGGAAAATACTGGTTCACTTAATTATGTGGATCTTCTCACTGGTGATACTACATAGCATTATTAGAACCAACCTTACCAGAAAAAATCTTTTAAGGTCTGGAAAGCTGTCAAGCTCACAAGGGTGGAAATATATGTTTCCCAAAATTTGATTTTATCATTGGCAACATATATTCTCAGGTATCTCCCCTGAAGTGACAGGCTCCTAAATGAAAACGGGTGTTCTTGTTTGTCCTGCGAGTGCCTGTGGCTAAGAACAAAGCAACCACTACTCCTATAGCTTGGTGCCAACTTCCAGGATCTTGCGAAGGAGACAGTAGTTTTACCTAACCTTTAGCTTCACACCATCGGTGAAAACATCAATTTAATGAAAAGGGCAGAGTACCTTAGAATTGTCATAAAGATAGCTTGGCCTTGGGAAGCCCCTGGAAGTCTCTGGAGCTCCTAGGGTCCGGAGGACCACACTTTGAAAGCCTGCTGCTGAGCCACATGGAGAGTGAGCACAAAGTGGGAGGAAAGGGTGACTCCCATTCACCAGCAAGTACTCTGATTTTAACACTTCTTAGAGTAATTCATTTTCAGGCTCTCCATTCATTAAAAAAACTTTTTTAATGAGTATATGCCATATTCAGAATATTCTTCTGAGTGTAACAGATTGAAAAATAACAACAAGGAATGAACCTCACCTGCTGGGAGCTATACCTAAGCAGGAAAGACAGAAACAGTTTTGCTAACTGGCTACAGGGTAGAACAAACAGTGTAGCAAAGTCATTAGGAAGACTGCCTCTGGAGCCAGACTGGGCCTCAGTTCACTCATCTGTAAACTGGGGATAATAATATCAACACCTACTTCACAGGACTGAAGTAGGGATAATGAATATGGATTTTTAGAACAAGAAAACAAGTTTAGAACTGAACCTGGCACATGAAAGGCATTCAAAACTATTACTGTTATTTTTATCTTGGGAAGGTCTACATAAGTATACACACCCACAGTGATGTCTGGGCTATATCTTACCTTAGACCTAATAAATTACAAATTACAGGGAATAAATACATGGGTTTGAAGATGCGCCCACTGATGATTTTAATACTTAATTCCGGTTAATGACACTGATATATAAAAAGTGTACGCAGGGGAGAGAGGAGGAAGTAACTAATTCTAAACAGCTGGAAAGAGAAAGCTTGCT